GTGTGTGTGTGTGTGTGTGTGTGTGTGTGAGATTGGTTGGAGGTATGTAAACATAGAGCACCAACCAATCAGCTCCTCAGAGGTGTTGTGCAGGCGTCAACATCCCCCCGGTGACATTTTTGCATAATTTATCATCTTGCTGACATTTTACCTCCGTACGTCTGGATCATAGATGAACAGGAGGACGACGAGCGAGCGAGAGAGAGAGAGAGACGACTTCTCGACGAACATTCAACCAATAAATGAAGCTGCAGTCGCTCTGATGTCATTTCAGATGATTCCCCTTCAACATCAACATCTCAATTCAGAGAGCGTGGGGGAAATAGAAATGGACTTGGCCGTCTGACAGCTGTGAGGCATCTCTGCTAACGAGCACATTATTTGACCACTGCAGAAGACGTGAGCTTGCGTTTTTCACTTGGTGGAACACGTGTCCGTGTTTTCATTTTACAAGTCAATGTTTAAAACAAGTCTTCCTCCGAAGCGTCTCCTTCTCAAGGGTTTTAGATAAACGAGGCTTATCTGAACGTGCGGAGGAACGTCACAGTGAGCAGCTCCAGGATGTGTCTCTTTTCAATTTACGTGGAGACAATGAAAAAGAGGGTTCACTCAAAATGAGCTTACATTTTTATCGCATGGCCTAAATTCATGGAGACATTTTCCTCCTTCCATTCCTGCCCTTTGTCTTTATTTCGATTATTTACAGTGAGTAAAATAATCCATCCGTCCATTAATTCCAGAGATCTCTGTCTGTCTGTGTCTCATATCTCGAGAACCGTCTTTTATCGGCCTCACACACGATTTTGAGGATTCTGAAAATCATTTTGATAATCTGACGACTTTTATTTCACGATGTCGGACTGAGACGGGTGAAGATCTCTGTCATGGTAAAAACAAAATCATAGAATCACTTCCTCGTTAGCGGCTCGTCTTCAAAGTAAAAGCACAACGTTCGTTCTGTGAATGTAAGTCACGTTCAAAAACATCTGAAGGTCCGTCCGTGAGTTTGAGTGCACATGTTGTTCGGTCCAGGTGAGGGGGAGAATTTTACCCACAGGCCAGGAATTCTGCACCTTCATAAACCTGTCTTGTATTCTGTGTAAACACAAAGCACGCTTTGTGCAGCGGAGCCTCGCAGCGGCACAGACGGCATGAAGGCAGGAAATTAACTGCAAGAGGCCTTGCAGTCAATTACACCTAGCTGCCTTTTAAACCACTTTTAAAAACAGGAAAATGACACCACATGCTGGTTGTTTGGTTGTTCAACATCCCCCCCCCTTTCTGCACCATACACTCAGCCCCTTTCCCTCCAAATAATCACTCCCTGTGTGTGCATGTGTGTGTGTGTGTTGTGCACACCTCCACAGAGTATATTTAGTAACACTCTTGACTTACATCTTAAGTTGCTGGAGGTATTTACGCGAAGCTTCCAGAGGAGAACTATTAATAATTCACAGTGAGATGTTATGCAAGTCAAAATGCGGTTTGAGTGCAGTCCTCGTCTCACCTGTACCGGTGCCAGTCGGGTCTCCTCCTTGAATCTGGAAACAAAAACAAACTCTTGTTACGAATGGGTGGCGCTGGCTGCGTGCGATTCAAAATTGAATACACACTTTGTTCCTTTTACTTATTACAGGAAAATGTTCAATTTCTGTGAAGTGGTGGAATGAAAGTTTAATGTGTAACCTTATATTTAATTTTGTCAAACAGCCAAACTGGAGTCATGTTCCTTGTAATCATTAGGAACAGACGTCAAAGCCGTCCAGGATACTGGCCTCTATTGTTCATTGTTAATCAAGAGCACTTCTCTGAAAAGCTGCAGGTTCTGACCACCGCTGCTGCGGAGCAAAGTTTGATGAGTGGGTTCCTGCAGTGTTTGTGTGGACGTCATGACCCCAGGCCTGGCAAAATCATTTCTGCCAACAGTAGAGGAAGCAGGAGCTGATTGTTTGTCAAACGTTTTCCCATTGTTTGCTGTTTATTTAGCAGCAGAACCGAGAGTAGAGAAGCAGGAGAAACTCTGCGTTTCACAAAGCTGAATAAAAACCAGTACACAGATATTCTACCAACACTCTGACTACATTTACACGAATAATCCAACTGTTGTTTAACTTATTATTATTAAGACATTATCTTGATTATGATGTTTACATGAGTCGTAGATAAAATAATCCATTCATGTTCTTGTTTACATGTTACACTTCATTTCAGACTATGACTCACATCAACATTACGTCCTACTGTGATTTATATATACAGGACGCGGTCGGGATGAACAGCTTTAAAAAAGGAAGCAGGGGCCACGTTTCTGTTCTCATTAACACACTGCATTTTAAGCGCTTGTTGTTGCGACAATATTCTCTCCAAGGCCACCTTGGAGGCCACCCAGTAATTAGGGATAAACAATTCAAAGCTTGCAACCACTGCGTATAAAAACCGGGGGATAGAATTTAAAAAAGGCAAGAGTCCTCTTGAGAGCAGATGTCCACTCAGAGCCATTTTAATTATGGGAGCGGAGGCTGTGAAGTAAACGGACGAGGAGCTGATCAGAGATCTGTCGGTTCAAATTCAGAGTCTGGGTCAAGACGCTTTAGTTGGAGAGCGAGTTAGAACAAAGAGTTTGTGTGTTTCCTCGTCTCTGAAGTGAGAAACACTCAAATGAATAATTATCTCAACAAAAGACGAGGTGAATGACACCCTGGGTAGTAATTCATGAGTAGGTGGATTGGGTACAGGAACCACGAACATATAAAATAATGTCTTACTCACCAACATACATGTAACATGTCACAGTCTGGAGTGTCTCAGTTACGTTAGGGGAAAAACAATTCAGATTTAAAAATACATTGTGATGGTGGGTGTTAACTTCTGGATAATCACTGACTACTATTAACGCACATTTGTCTCTGAGGACAGACATACACCAGGATTCAACTGGAGACATGTCCAGTTATGAGACGTCCCTTTAGGCACAAAAAAATTCCCACCCATTTGCAAAATTGCTTCCAATTGCTTCCATAAAAATCTTCTTTTTTTTTTTTCTGGAAACTGTCACTTGTGCTTTTATTACATTTCACTCTCTGTATTAAAATTCTCTGCATTGCTGTTTTGGTCAATATCGTGCAGAGGAGAGCGAACATCCCGACGAGAGAAAAGCAGAAAAGCATTTCAGTCGAGTTTAAGTCCTCACCATGAAATTCCTGATGGATCTGTGGAAGATCGTATCATTGTAGAATCCTTTTTTACACAGACGGACAAAGTTCTCTCCAGCTTTGGGAACCTGGCGGAGAGAGAGAGACACGTTTATTAGATCAACCACCATGAAACGTCATCATTAACGGACAAAGTTCCGTTTCTCAGTAACTGACGTCGTGAATAGTTTCTCCACAGTCAATAACATCAGTTGCTCTGTAAGCTGATCACCTCTGCCAAAGAGATTATGTTGTCACCTGTGTTGTTTGTTTGTTCTGGGATGGATCTACAGAGATTTTTCTTACTTTAACATTCAACATATATTTCTTATGTATTTATCAGAAGACACAGAACAGGCGTCAGGTTTCAGTACGTTCCAACTTCCAGATATCGTCCCATAGATATCAGAACAGAACACATATCGTGTTATATAATGAGTTTTCCTTAAAACAAGGTTTCATGTAAACTCGTTTCACAATCTCGTAGTTTGTGGTAAGTCTACCTTCTTAAATCTCCATTTAAAGGTCCAGTGTTTACGATTAAGGTGAAAGGATCTATTGTTAGAAATGTGATATAAATCCTACAGAGATGTTGTGTTGGTATGTTTTTTTTTCTCCTCTTGCCGAAGGGTCATCCTGTTTCCTAAAAAAAAGCGTTGGCGTCTGGTAAATCGTAACAAACACACCCGCTGAGAGAAGCTGCTGTCGACTGACTGTCGCTCTGTGAAATGAGCCGGCTGGTCCAGTGTTGTTATCATCGACAGCCTCGAGGAACACTTCTGTGTGTTTATGAGAAAATCTAAACCCCCCCTCCCCCCCCCGGCAACAATGGTTGGTGGTTTTCAAGAACCACCAGATGCTTTCATAAAACTTGTTCTTCTAAGCTCCACTGGTCTTATGTCCTCTACGTCTCTACTCTGCTTCCTTTGCCCCCTTCATGATAAACCCTGGTTTTTCACTGTGGCACAAAGAGGCTTACTGTTTACAACCCTTCGACTAAAAAAATAAATAAAAACAAAACAGGATTTAACCAATTTTAGCCATTAAATTAAATTTCTGGAATGGAAAAGAACGCCTCAAACAGTAATCTAATGACAAACTGTCTTGTTAGAACAGATAACTAGTTTGCATGAATAACATTTCCTTTCTGTGTTTCCTTTCTTTCATCTAAATGCTTCTGATCTGTAACCAGAAACTTTTACGTCAGAGATCTTTATCTGCAACACGCAGGCGTCGTCTGCCTGCTGCTGCTGCTGCCGCCGCCCTGTACAAGTGGTTAATTTAGCGTGTCTGCCTGCATGCCTCTGTTTGTGTGTCCGTTTCCCTGAGAGGGTTTTTAGTCCGGCAATGTTTCAATCCACATAAAAACACGCCTGGCTGCCTAAAGCTGTCAGCAATCAGTGATGTCAGCGTGGAAACTAAATTTGCTGATGCTGACTTGTTAATTCACATTTACTTACAAGCTCTTCTCTTTTACAAGTATTACCCGGGGGGGGGGGTGAGACAATAAAACGATGGGACATAAAATCCATTAAAATAATTTCATTAGTCTGAAAAAATAAAAAAATGTATTCTGCCAAGATTGTGCACATTTATTTAGATCCCCAACAACCGACGCACATCATTGGATTTTTAAAACCTGACATTAGAGCCTGAAGGATGTTCTATAAATGTAGACATTATCGCCTCCGCCAAGGAGGTTGTGTTTTCATCTGCGTTTGTTTGTTTGTCTGGATTTACACAAAAACTACTGGAGGGATTTTCATTAACGTTAACGGCTGGATGTGGTATCGGTCAAGACATATGTATATATATATACATGTACTGAGGTCACAGAGTGAAAAGAACAACCTAGATCTTTAATTTAATCCGCTTTTAAAAATGATACCCCTTTTTCTCATCAAGATGCATAAACTGTTCCTGGGAACTCCAGTGAAAATGTCAAAATCCCCTCAAACACAAAAACATCCTGGGTCCGCCCCCTCGATTTAATCGCTTTCAACAAATAATGAGTTTCAAGAAAACGGGTTCAGTGGTTTTATGTCCCGCTGACAGACAAACAAACAGCAATGAAAATATGAATATATGGAGGGAATGATTCAGATTTGTGTTTGTCTCTGAATATAAAAACAATTGTAAATCTGACACAGTCATCCCACCACTCAGGTGAAGCTGTCGAATATAATGAGGCTGTACCTTCCTCGGTTTTAATCTGAAGGTACAAGCTGTGTCATCCAGTTATCCGTCGTCTGCCCCCTCACATCTCGTCCCGGCTCGGGGACAACGAGGGCAGCAAATGGGCACTTTACGGGGAGGTGGGCTCTGGATTTGTGTGACTGAGAGTGTATGTGACAGTGAAGCAGCGCTCATTAATTCATAAACAGCAGGCCACGAATAGAGCTGCTGTGTGAAAACCACCAGGGAGGAAGGTGGTGAGGAGGAGGAGGAGGAGGAGGAGGATGCGGGGCACCGAGGGCAGGTTGTCTAACCGCTGCCACTTTCGCCTCATTATTCTGATTCGCCGGCTCAGAAGCCAATAAAAACCCAGCACATGAGACGCCTGGTTACCAGGGTAGAAACGCATTCCTGGAACGCATGCTGTCTCTCAGGAGCCCCGAGTCTAACCTTAGAAAGGAGGAACACAAGAAACACATTTTTGCAGAGATGTAAACTTGGCAACCTGGAGGACGGACTCCGCACAAAGTGGATTTAAGTGTTTGGAGTCGACCGCCAGCTCAGGCCGAACCTGCGTCACAGCAGCATAACATGACGACTCTATATCAGCAGATTGAATGTATAATGTTATTACCTTATCACAGTGTAACTCCAGATTCAGGTCCCCCTTGTTTGTGTGTAGACGGACGTAGCCTTTCTTCTTCACGTACTGGTAACGCACGGTGTCGTCTGCGATGGCGTCTGTGACAGAGAAATACACGTTCAGTTCTTGCGGTGCAGCGTCATTGACAACCTTTGAGATTGAGACTTTAAAAACCCCCAGAGCTTCGACAGTGTGACTGTTATTTAGATTTTTCACTGTTTCACTACGAGTTATATTCAAAAATACAAAATCAGTAACTCCTGTCTATTCAATACTATATACACAAACAAACACATGCATATATTTATGTACATACACTATATGGACATAAGTATTGGGACAAACGCCTCTTAATCATTGGATTCAGGTGTCTCATTCAGTCCCATTAGTTGGACCAGGTCCTTCAGTTCCTGTGACAACTTTGTGGAACCGTTTGACCCTTTTTTGTGGAAGAACTTGACCCACACAGAGCCCTGACCTCAACCCTGACCTCAACCCCATCAAACACCTTTGGGGCGAACTAGACGTCGACAACATCGATGACTGACCAAACAAATGCTCTTCTGGATGAATGGGCAAAGATTCCCACAGACACGCTGCAAAATCTTATAGAACGCTTTCCCCCAGAAGAGTGGAAGCTTTTATGGCTGCGAAGGGGGGGAACAACTCCACGGTCACCGAATGTAAAACCTATCATCTTCTTCTGAAGTGTAGTGAACGTACAACAACACAGTTGCGTAACAGTGAATCTTTCCCATTAAGCAGCTCAGTCTGACAGGAGGAGAACTGAGCAGCACAGTCGACTGTGTGAGGACAAACTGTCTGACTGTCCCGTCTTCGCTGGATAAATAACGATTAAAGCAGAAAACCAAACCAGAGGTGCACGTTTCTTTCTGCTGGGACTCTGCAGACATTCTCCGAGCGCGAGAGATGTTCACTCGCCTGCTTCGTGTGTAGTTGCAGGAGTCATGGCCGTGGATGTGAAGGAGGCGGAAACTCTGCCTGTGGAGTAATGAGCCTGAGGGAGAAAAGAGAAGATGACAGTTTTAATGTTTTCTCACTCTATCTTCTAAACACTACTTCTACTGTTAATGAACATATTTATAATATTGGTTCACTTCAACAGCCACTGAATTAAAAAAATTGAATTGATTTCAGTTGTACACAGCAGAGACCTCATTAATAATTTTTGTTTCATGCAAGTTTGATTATGCTATTAATTAAAATGAATGGCAGAATAAAACTTGCACTGGACAGACACAGAGGTTCGGGGGTGAAGACAGATACACAGGAAGCAGAAGCACATGGCACAATAGCCATGGCAACCAAGGAAGAAAACAAACCTGTGAGAATTGTGTCTGACACCTTAATAACTGCAGATTGGTTCTAGGTAATGACTTCATATTTTGCCCAGTGACCAATTAAAACGTTCTCTTTACAACCGTGTAGTTGTCTTCAGGGTCAACTTTGCCAAAGATGCACATTTTTCATTTTCAAATCAGAAATCAGGTTTTCTTTCGGAGGTGCACCTTCTTGAAGAACAATAACAAGTATTATAAGTGAAAGATTTAAAGCGATGATGTGGATATTTGTTCCAGTTTCACCTCCATCACCTTCATCACGTGTTACAAACGTCATTGACACGTCCACTCGCTCGCTGTGGATCTTCCTGCTGTTTTCACTCTGAGGTTTTACAGACATGATACCGGGGGGGCTGCAGGACAAATTGCAGAAAATGTCCGAAGCAAACGACTCGTACATTTGCGTTCTCACGTGCGGCTTCGGCGGCTTCTGTATGACTGAGAGCACAGCCCCCACCTCGGTGTGGAGAAATCGCTGCCATCTCATAATTTAACAGCACTTAAGATGCTTTCAGGTTGTTTGAGCCTAAATTATAGTAGAATACATTTGCCGAACAGTGATGTTCACCTAAAAATACCACAAAACACTGCAGTGGGACTGGGGGAGTTATTTAAGTCTGAGAGAATAAGAACTGAGCGAGGATGAAAGCCGAGAAGTGAAAATGGATTTCAAAAGCTCACGTCTATTCTACAGTCCTGGCTTAGAATTCTTCTGCTCTAGTTCTTGTGAAGACGCATGAAAGCACAGACTTCACCTTGTTTGCTCCGTCTGACCTATATTCCCTGTTTATCTCAGATGTCGTCTGAGCGTCACCTCAACGGTGAACTTAGGCAGAGAGCAACCGAGGAAAAGCTCTGGTGTGAAATGAGCAGAGTTCAGGGGGATTGATTTTTTTAAAATTAATATGACTACAAGTGACAAAATCATCAGTGGTCGAGTTTGATTCAAACAACAGTGACAGAAAAACTCATGTTCAGTCTGATGCAACCTTCCCTCGTTACTTTCTAAAAGTGAAAACCAGTAAACAAGACAAACATTAAACTATTTGAATTTTCTCTTTGACCTGCAACTAATCATCTTAAAATTAAATGTGATTTTATTTTCTACTTAACTTTCCCCCAGATGTGATGCTAGCTCACTTACCAAATGGTAGTAGTAAGATCTTTCTCCAATTTCCAATGGGAGTAATGTATGTTTGTGCTACACATTATAACTGTAATTAAATCTACTTACTCATAATTTGTATTTTTAATATCTTCCCCATGAACTCTGCTGCTCTCCAACTCTGAAAACCAGACACGGAGGAGCATCGGCTGATAAAAGCAGTGATGTTGTCTTTCAAAGTGAATCGGGATTCCTCCCTCCACCACCACCCACCCGGTTATTCAAGGATACAGCCTCAGTGTAACGTGACCACGGATGACCTTCTTTGTTCAGCAGTTGTACGTTTGTTTCCCTGATAGTTAAACCCGACCAGAAACGACCGAGGGCAGATGTTAACACGAGGTCACGCACAAAGTATCCTGACGGTATTTTAAAGTAAATCACACCGACCCGCAGCTTAGCTGAGGAATCCTTTGTACCAATTACATTTCAAACACAAGGGTTTAATCATGTCTAATATTTGAGGTGTTAACATGTTTTGTGAATATATACATTTGCTGTAATTCATTAAACGTGTTGAATATGATCTATAATCCTCTCAACACTGAAAACATCCTTTGTTCTGTTTCTGGATGCAGTTGTTTTGTCTTGTTGCTGTCAGTGCTGTGTTAATCCATTAGTGTGTGTTTGGCTCCTCCTGGTGTACAAACTAAAACTTACACTTCTTCACTGGATAAATTCCTCACAGCAGCTCTACTGTAGAACTGGTACATCTATTAAAATGTTTTAATTAATTATTCATAAGAGAATTACTACTTTTTATTGCTGATTGGGTTGAAGTTTTTGATGTGGAAGAATTTTATGTAGCTAAAATAATAGTCGGTCTCCGAGAGAATTCATTCTACTGAATAAATGAACCTTTGAACTGGCACTTGTTAGGTATTATATTTAATTATAAATATATTCATTTAATTAATCCTGACTCCACTTGTCTCTCTCTCTCTTCAGTATGTACACGTCGCTGCTGAATCACCTTTGACACCAAACAAGAGAAAACGTACCTCAAAGCCGAATGACATCGTTTCAAGCGAACGTTCCACATGGAAAGTGTTTGTTATTGAGAGAGCGAGATGAACTTAGGAGAACTGACGATCTGAGTGATTTATCGTGGGATTAAAGCTACAGGAAACTGACGAGGAGGAAGATGATGAAGACTTCCAGATCTTTCATGTGCGTAACACCTGCCTGATAATAATGAATCAGAATAATGAATTATTCAAAAAGCATGTGAGTGATATTTGAGTGTGAGGAGGATGTGAACCAGCAACCATCAGGGGATTTACTTGTTCAGACTCGATCATCTCCAAGATGTGAATCTGTTTGATATTGTTGTTTCTTGTTCATTCACTTCCTCGTGTTTCAGTCATTGATAAACTGAGCATCACAATGTTTTTGCTTACAGCGTTCAACTTGTCCGTCTTCTTGGCCGCGGGCTCCTTCATGGTGGACGCCAGCAGCTGATCGCCCTTGTAGTCTTTGTAGAGTTCAGCTAAGGTCTCCCTGGTCTCGAGGTTGGTGCTCTTCAGGTGGTACGACGGGTCCAGTTTGGCCTTTTCCTCATCTGAGCCGTGCCAGACCAAAAATAGAGAGAGGAAGGAAATGGTTTAATAAAAGCTCTTTCAAATCCAAAGAACACTTGAGACGTTTGCACACTCAATTTTATTTGTTGATTTATCTCATAATCGTCTTTAGCTCTTGTTCCTTTGACTTTGTCTTTAAAAGGATGTGATGTAGTTAAACTGAAAATAGGATCAAGCAACAGGCGACAGAAATGAATTAACCAAAGCTGGGAACAAACAGGACGTTCCTCAAATGAAAAACTTGAGGATTAAATATAGAAACTATGAGCGGTCGTTGCAGCAGTTCCTCAAACATCCTGGAAAAAGTCCTGAAGCGGCTGAAGTTCCTGAACCAGTGAAACTCACAAAGCTCTTCATCAATATTATTTCCCGGTATTTAATCTTTTTCTCTTCTTCTTTAATAAAAGAACAACAGATCATCATCACTTGATTTCAAGAAGTTTAATGTGCAAACAACAAACTCTACAACTCACCTGGATCCAACACCTTCAGGTTGTTCTTCACGTGGAAAAAGTCGGAAACATTAAATTTATCCAGGTTTGTTGGATCCTACGAAGATGAAACAAAAATAAATTATAAAATATACACGACTTTCCCCCAAAAATAATAATGACAATGTGCTTTCACCTTCTCGAAGCAAAGCAACAACCCACCTGAAGTGTGATAATGTCCTTTCTGGTGAAGGGTTCATCGCTCAGCAAATCTCTGTAACTCTTGGTCTTAATGTTGAGTTGCTCCACAGCCTGAGTGGAAACAGAAATATTTGAAATCTCTTTTTGACACACACCAAGTTGAAAGAGAAGGAAACTAGAGGTCTTTTATTTTTATTTCTAATCGTCACCCTACTACTTTTAGCCAACTCAATTATAAAAAAAATGTCGGCAGGTTCTACTTTGTTGATGATCTGTAAAAGCAGAGGAAATGTATCGTGCACAATGTTTAATCCTCGTTTTATTTAGACAAACAAAACCAATAACATCTCAGTGTGTGTTTGTGTGTCGTATAAGGATCAGTGGTACGTCTGTGATGTCACCCACCTCATGAGAGAAGACGTTGCCTGTGACCTTGTTGGTGACGATGTAAGAATTGTTTGTGAAGACGTTGTACAGAACGGGGCAGTGATATTTCCCTGGACCAGAAGGAAAAGAAGAATCAGAGGAAAGCAAAGCAGCAGAGTCACAGACTGAGAACTCAAGAACGCCTGACTGAATGTGCCCCCCGCTGAATTACATCACCTCCCATTTCCACTTGCTTTAATTTGCTCCTTCACAAGCTGCTCTCACACAGAACTGCAGTTACTGAAGTGCGGCTCTGACCTTTCTATTTCCCAACTACCCACTGATGTTGGTGATTTTCAGCTGAGCAATTAAGCCTTAATGTCAGTTTTAACCTTATTATGCTCTGTTATTAGTTTCTGTGTGAAACTTTTAAGGTTAAATTAGACGGAACTCCTGCTTATTTACCATCGTTGTTCTTGGCAAAGTTGAGTTTGATGAGGGACTTTGCTTCCAGTTTCTATGAGAATGAATAAACAAGTGTTAATGTGCAATCAACCACGTTTTTACATTTAGATACAACAAATGAGGATTTTCATTTTTGATTTTTACCTGTCTCGATAATAATGGCATTAAATATAAAAGTCCTCATATTTGATAAAATGGAAACTTATTGTTATTGATGTCTGTCACGTGTGAGCGACATAATCAACACGTCAACTTGCTCGGGGGAGGGGCTGCAGGAAAAGTTGTTTTTGTATCCCCACATGCAGCCCCTCCAGAAAATATCTGGAAAACACCAGTGAGTCAGGTCTGAAAACATCATATATCATTTACACATTTTCATATTTCAACCCCCGAACAGCTGCAGAACACATGTGAACATTGTGGTAAATAAATGACAGTAGAGAAAAGGACCTTGATGTTTTCTTACCTCTCCAGAGATCGGATTGGTGCCAAACTTCTTAATCCAGGGAACGATGCTCCTAAAAGGGAAGAAAGGAATTAACAGCATCAGCATATCACATCAATATATCAGGTATAGTCCAACAGACATCTTTAAAATATATATCTTTTAAATAACACCGTGTTCTTACAGCAGGTCGAAGACGACTCCCTCCTCCGTGCAGACAGGATACTCAAATGGCTGAAGGGACAAGCTGAAAAGTTTCAGAGAAAACTAGTTCAAATTCAGCAGTGAAATTTAGAGTGAATCCAGTTTTTAACATCCGAGCAGTTTACAACACTATTGTCAGATTATCAAATATTAATGGGACAGCGAGGACTTGATTTCATGGTTGTCTCATTTAAACGAGTGTCTTCTTACCTGCAGTGGTCGAATGGAAGGCGTCTGAAGTTTGCCTGAGGGATAACTGAAAAGTAAAAGCATAAAGAGAAACTTTAAAACGCATCTACTTTGTTTTTAAGACATTTTGAAGAACTGGTCCGTGATCGGCAGCTCGACACTTTATTTTGAAGACAGCCATGCGTGTGATTACATAATTTATAATCAATAAACCAATGATTTGTTCTGGACTTTAGTACGATTAATGAAATTCATATCGCGATAAGTATCGATATCGGTTTATCATCCCGCTGTGGCGCCGACTTTATTATCTTTATTATTATTATTATTTACGTTAGTTAAATAAAACAGAGAATAAGTTTAAGTTAATAACGTTTGTATTAAAAACTGTTTGTAGGTTGAAAGATGGAAAAACTACAAACTCACCGTTTCGTTTTCCTCCATAGAAGTTCGTGTACTCTGTACACGTGATGTACCTGTAATACATGAATACATGAGCACATTAATACATGAAATACATGAAATACATGAATACATGAAATACATGAAATACATGAATACATGGATACAAGTAAATGTAAAGTTAGCTCGTTTACAAACAGCGTTAGCTTGCTAAGCTAACAGCAACCAGCGCGTCGCGGTGTCGCTGTTTCATCCGGAAACACGTGAACACTCACATTTTATCTTTCTGGTGCTGCCGCTTCCCCATTTTTAGTTTCTGTGTGAAAACCAAAAGATTTTCTCCAGAAAAAAAAAAACAAATATTTCACCGACACAAAAACACGAAGTGCTCTGTTTCTTTTCCGGTTTACCTTCTTCTTCGTCGTTTATCTTCTTCCGCTCCACCTGCTACAGCGACTCTCTGCTGCCCCCTAGCGGAAGAGTGGTTCAGTCCAATTAACCTCCACAGCATCAACAAGTTCACGTCTGCTCATGTGTGTACAAATACATATAAATACACAAATAAGTGAATACATGAATATGTAAATAAGTTGATAAATGAAATAAAAATGTATCACCGAAGTTATTTTCCTTCTGGTTCCATAAAATAAACGTTTATCTCGCTTCCCTGTAACCGATCAAATATCTGACATCTAGAAAAAGTCAAAGTACACGAGTCTGTCTATGTTTCACCTGATTACAAGTTAATTGTGCTAATCCCATATATTGCCCAACATCCAACAAAGTGGAATTGCAAGACAGAAAGTAGCAGTAGCAGTGATTACTCACCTGCAGGAACGTGTGGAACGACTTTATGTTGCCAGGTTTTTTAAAAAAAAAAGGCCTTCATTATATATAATATATAATATTAGAAATATTCTGTACATATACAGCTCAGTGTTGATGCTCGTATCTCTCCACCTGCTTGACTGCAAATAACTTGTGATCAGAGTAAATCTAAACATTCTCTGTAAGCACGACACTAAGATCAGCTGTAGAATTTATTATTAAAGCAAATGTTTACTCTCTTCTTCTACACTGGGTGCTCGTAATCCCAGTGTGTCACATGTTAAATGCTAAAGCAGTAATGATAACTTTTTATACTCTGTAAGTAACTGAACACACAACAAATAAAACAATACAGAATAAATGAATCTACAATAAATTTATTTTGTCTTGGCATTTCATTCATTAAGGGAATTCTCAGATTTATCTCTAATCATTGACTTCTGACAAAAACACGGAGAGCAGCATGAACCGTGGCGGGGGGGGGGTTAGTGACAGTAGCAGAAGGTACATTCAGGTTACCTGTCGTGCGTCTGAAGCAGGGACGGCCTCGACAGGTACTTCAAACTTCTTTTCCCCCGAATCACACAGAGAAACGTGGAGGAGGTGGAGCCATTGACATCAGGAAGTGAACTTCAAACAAAACGCTTGTTTTAAAAAAGGATGCTGGGAAGTGATGATGTGTTTTCATATCAAAATATAAAACAGAGCAGCAGCAGCAACACTGTCGACATACCTGAGTTACAACAAGCTTCCACTTCTCATCACTCACAGCACTTCGAACATCTTATGAGTCAAATGACCAGTAGACCGTAAATAAAGATGGACGACATGACAGCTCCCAGACAGTGAAGCCAAAACATCTGGCTCGCCCCCTGGTGGCTGGCTGCAGTTTAGGTTATAAACTATGGGACATGACTGAAGTTAGTTATTTGGGATGATTGGCTTTATTTTTGCACAGTTGGAGGGGGTGGGGACGTATCGTCCATCTTTATTTACAGTCTATTAAAAGAACAAAGCCTCGATTGCAAACTTTAGACTTTACACTGAACTTCATGTTGCACAACGAACAACTGGACGAGTGAACGTTCTCTTCTTTGGCACTTTACCAGTCAGGCAGGACCAAACTTTTACAACGATGGAACAAAGGCTGAGTTTCCAGACGCTTACCTGGTACTGACAAACACACTTTTATTTATAAAACAAAAATCTGAATGGGAAGTAAAGCACACGTTCACAAAGACAAAGGGGTTGAAGAGCCAGAGGTTTGTGAGTCCATGAAGTGGATTGTAGTTGTTTTTGCTCGAAAAGTGCAGTAATATGTAGATTTGTTTCCTGACAGGGCAAAAGATAAGTTCACATTGTTGTTGTTCCCTTTGAGAACAACTGAAGTCCATTTAAATGGTAAACTCGTAGGCGGCATTTGCTCGGTACCGTCCTGACAATAAAACAAGGCTCTGGTCCGGTCTGTAGTTTGATAAAACAGTCAGTGAGTCTTCTGGTGAAAACAAAAATAAAATCACCGCAAATCCATCATGGACACAGAGTCATTGGTGATGGTGACGTGTGCCGCGTGCTGGAGAGAAGAGACAGGTGTTAGAGTCTGTTCACATGGACACACATGAACCTGACGAGCTGTATACAACAACACTGATGTTTCCATGTCCCGCCCCCTGCTGCTCTACAGGCTCCACCCCTCGCCTGAATGTCACCCACATGTTCCTGTTGTTGTGAACGAGTCGACGATCTGCTGATAAGATAAGCACGAGTACTTTCCATTCTGTCAGGGCTAATATCTAGAAAACTATACTTGACGATTACAAAAATAAAATAAAACAGTTTCTATAAGGAAAACGGTTTAAACACTGAACTGTGCGTTGCTCTCGAAGTGGAGGTGTACTCACTGTAAACAGAGGGGGGTCTTTGCTGTGAGGGTGAAAGCCTTTCTCTTTACACGTGGAGATCTCATCTGTTCCTCGGTCCGTTAACCTGAAGTAGCCGATTCTGGGACAAACACAGTCACAGTCACACTTCAGCAAAGAGGAAATACGTTGGCACAAACGGACAAACACAGAAATAATCCTGTGTTTGTAACCACGAGACACGAGCGGGTTTCAGACTCACTCGTTGAACTTGGGCGAGCAGACGATAGCAATGGCCTCGGGCAGCATCATTTGGTAGGAGCAGTGTGTGTGGAGGTCCACGCTGGACAGGAAGGCCGTCTGTGTCGGGTGAGTCTGAAAAGAAAAAGCCCAGACTTCAGTTTCCTGCTCCGCTGGTTTCAATTTACTGTAAAAAATAGAACAGAGTGAAAAGTTAACGGCGCCTCCACATGACGACTTGTTCTCGTGAGCCTCTGACTTGACAAACCACATTTTGCATGTAGTTTGTAGGAATTCAGTGTAAAACTATGAATTACTGACACTCACACAAATCTAATGTTTCATCTAAATATTAATATCCAGAGATTAAACATAAGCACTTGATTCTGAATTTGATAAGAACTCAAACCCAACGGTTGCTATGAATAATACTGTAAAGCTGCTCTCAGACCTGCACTGAACTCCGGATAATCCTGAAATTATCCAGAGGATCTGTAAGTGAGAACACAAATCTCTGAGCCAGTTGCTGCGGAACTTCTCCTGAGTGAAAACTCTGGATAATGTCTGAATGAGCTCACGTGAGAACACGGCAGGAGATTATCTAGAGGTGAAACTGAAACTACAGGAACACAAATATCTCGGAAGGCGATGATATTCTAGAGCAGCTGCTGAGGTTTTGTGACGTTCACTCACGTGAATCCAGCCCAGGGTGATGAGATCGTACTGGTCCTGTATGAGAAAGAGCTCCTCCTCATTTTCCGTGTCACAATAGTCTGGTCCACCGCTCTGCTTCGGTACGATGACGTGGGTCACAGTAAACGCATTTCTGGTCTGGAACAAACACACAAAGCGTCACACTGTTTTTTTTTTTTTTGCACTGCTTTAAATGATGCAAAGTCGCCGTCTGCCAACAAGCTGTCAACAGTCTCTGAATCTAATGAACTGCGTTCTGACCAGTTCGCTGCGTCGAGCAAATAAGGGCCAGTCATCAAAAGTGACTCAATTCAATCCCACATGTTTGGCTCTGGATTAACGTTCCTAATTTAAAATCATTCTATTGTTTTTGTGCCTCCTGTAACAGAAGCAGTTTTCATCATGGCCTCTGCAGCAACAGACACAACCGCCTGCTGATTGGGTCTTTGCGGCTTTTTCACTGATTCAAGTTCTCCTATCACATGACCTCCTTTCTAGAAGAAAACAACTGATACTGATCTGGATCGATGACAAAGAATTACAACAAACTATGGACAAACTTTTCTTTAAGAAACTCGTTTTAAAGCACGAGGGAAGTAGCGTTCAATGAACATTAACATATTTGAAATCAACGCATCAGCGTATTCAAGAGCTTGTGCGTAAAACGTACGTACTTGGTCATTTAGACTTTTTAAGGCCAAAAATGAAGATGAGTAAATATTAGACTTTTTACGACCCAGCAGAAAACAGGTTTAATACGACTTGCTCAATTCAAGAGTCTTACCAGTTTGCCACACAGGATGCCACAAGTTTCTACAGCTCGGCTCGTGTTGGCCTCCGCCAACCTCAGAAAGCTCCGGCACAGCTCCGCAGGAACCGACAACTGCCGAAGGGCATCCACCATCGTATCTGCACAAACCAAAGAGTTAAAGCACAAAAGTTAGATTCTCTTCTGGAGCAAGGCATGGTGTAAACAGGACAGGAAGTAGGTCAGGGGGAAGAAACCAGCTCAGAAGAATAAATACTGGAGCAGGAACAGGGCAGTATTTAAATCCTCTGAGGGCCAGCCCCTCGTGTCACAAAAAGATTAACTCACTATTGTTCCCCGGGCTGACCAGAGAGCCAGGCTTGAGCGACCGGTCGAAGGTGGGCAGGGCGGTGGCAGGTGTGCCGACGGTTGAATGAGGGGGGTTGTGCTCGTGGTTGGTGCCACTGGACACGTCCCCCAGGCTCTGTGGGGGGGCGGTGGGGGAGACGATCGGGGGGCCCTGGATGCCTGGAAGGAGGGGTGCTTCAGGGGGGGGCACGTTGGGTGTGGCGAACTCAAGGAGCACGCGCTGGCGTTCCTTCTCCAGCTCCTGGCGGCGGATCATCTCCTCAAAGGCACTGAATTGCTCCTGCTCCCGCTGCCGCCGCTGCATCTCGGCCACGCGCTCCCGCTCGGCGTCCAGCGCTCGCCGCCTTGACTGCTCCTGCACCAAGGCCTCATCCGCCACTTTCTGAGCACAAAGCAAACACGAGATACGTGCAGGTTTTAGTTTCAGCAGCAGAACAATTAATAAAAGTGGTAAGTTGATCTCAAATGAATGTGTTTCATTCATTGTAATAAACAATGTGACTATTCAGGGTCAATGTTTTCGTTTGGCCTCCGATAATGAAAGACTGCCTCCTTTCATTACAACCCTGGTTAATGTTTCAGCCCATTTACAGCCCAGACGATACACAGTGAAATCAGAGTACTGTACGCTGTAATGCATATGATCTACAGTCATTTTGACGGATGAAAGTCAGGACACTTTACCTTTTTGGCAAGATATTGTGTGTGTTCTTGTTCAAATCTCCTCAAAAGACCTTTTTTCAGAATCTCTGCTTGAGGAAACGCAACATCCTTCAGTTTCTGCGGAAGAAAGAAAGCTGAGTTATATGTTGAGCTAAAACAATTTGAAATACACTTTACAGGACAGAATGAACTCAGTGTTCGTACCTTCAGTGTGTCCTTCTTTTCGGGAATGTTAGCGGTCTTGTAATCGCGATGCTTGGGAAGTTTTTCTATAAAGAGCCTTTTGGAGAGAAAAGAAATTCTAGTTATTGACTGAAATATCTGTGTGCTTGTGCTGAGAAAGTCTTTTCAAAACCAGGGACTAAACTTTGTAATTCAAAGTAATGACAGACTGTAGACTTTGAATTGGCTGTTTGTCCTCTTTTTGAAGTGCCACAAAACTAAGGCAAGGACGGGTTGACAGCATTCTGACTTGAATATCTCAAGATAAAAATTTCCTTCTTCAGCATCTTATCCTTCTTTCATATAAATATTTCCTCCCAACAAATTTAATGCATTTAATTGTGGTTCTAAACTCTGCAGGGAATGACGAAGTAAACACTGGAACAAAGGCAGCACACGTACGTAATGTATCTGTTGTAAAGGACGAAGGCGTGCTCGATGTTGCCCTCGTCTGTGTAGATCTTCGCCATGCGTATCATCTCCATGCCTGAGCGGAAGTAGCGGCGCAGAGGCACATAGTCATTAACCTCCACCGCGCTTCCCTTCTTGGTGAGCACGCGGACCCGCTCCTCCGGCTGCAGGCTGACATCCGTGTGTTCCGCCATCATGACCACCCAACCTCGAACACTGGGGAGAGAGGGACAGATGTTTCATGCTGCTCCATGACTCTGGCTTTTCTACTCATCGATCAACTGAGGTCAAATGTGAGAACGCTTCATCAGCGCGCTGACTGACAGTCACATGGGCTGCACTGATTCCACACTGACAGATCCTTGGTGTGCTGATGTCAGCCCACAGCCACACATTGTATTGTGGCTGTGAGCGGTGTAGACACAGAGGTGTGGCTCTGATAAAAGGTGAAAGGTTGATGCACTTGAAAGATTATTAAACACAAGGCCTGTTAGTCTCTGGAGGAAACAAATTTAAATCTAAAAACCAAACGGTAGATGTGGTGTGGGTGAGGAAAGAAGCAGCAAAACAGTACTTTGTTTCGTGTCTATATATATAAATCATAGTTTTAATATTCTCAATCCAAGTTTAAAACATTTGCTTCTCTGGGTTAATCCAGTCCAGGTATGACAGGACTGTTGATTTTTGAGTTAAACGTGATGTGATGGGGTCCAGGTGGAGAAAAAACTGAGACATTGCAAATTCTGTGTTTATAGAAGGAGAAATAAAGTTTTTTACAAATATCAAACTATGTTTAGAACAAACTTAACAGTCCTGACATTTACAGGTTATTTGGTCTTTTAATCTGATGTGGTCCAGGTGGGAAATCATCATCATCATCATCATTATTATTATTATTATTATTATTATTAGAAATAAAGGTTTTCAATCTCAAGCCTTGTTTTAAACTCTGCAGCTTCTCTGGTTAAATCCGGAGCAGATTTGACAGGTGGTGGTTCCTGAGCTCCACCGGATCTGATGCAGGTGGAGTAGAGACAAGTATGAAGTTGGTGTTTTATGCTTCACATAAATAAATGAATGAATAAATGAATATCAACGTGGTCCGTTGAGAAACGCTTGATGTGGAAGCTTCAGTGTAAATGTCAGTGAAAGTTGTAGATGAGTTTCAGTTGAAGCTGAAACACAACGAGTGATTCCAGGGACTTGAACTCACGGACACTTCAGTCGTGAACCAGACGAGACGAGAAACCTTTTCACGTCTTCTACAAACCACGTTGTGTTCGAAGCTCCTCTGTTCAAACAGATCGAGATGTTTCAGCTTCACTGTTTCTGTGCCACGGAGCGTTAGCGGCTAACTTAGCTAAACCAGGCTCCGAGTTTAAGATGCTCGAACAGGAAGTGAATGTTGGTCCTCACCGAACCGAGCAGTGACCCGAGGCTCCCGCAGGTCCTACATACAGAGATGACCCGAACCAGAACCGCTTCAGGTCCACGGACGATCCGTTTCTGTGGCTTCTCTCTGGTTTCACTCTGGTTTCACTCCAGCGACCCAACTCCGCTGCACACTTCCGCAATCCCAACAACTTCCGCATGACGACACACGCCCCGCGGGATGTTGGGTAACGTAAAAAACAAAATAAGATAAGATCAAAAAATACATTTAATTTAATTTAATTTAATTTAATTCATTTAAATTCAATTAAACAAAAACAATATAAGATCAGATCAAAAATACATTTAATTTAATTTAATTTAATTTAATTTAATTTAATTTAATTTAATTTAATTTAATTTAATTTAATTTAATTTAATTAAACAAAAACAATATAAGATAAGATCAAAAATACATTTAATTTAATTTAATTTAATTTAATTTAATTTAATTTAATTTAATTTAATTTAATTTCAATTCAATTAAACCAAAACAAAAACAAAATAAAATTTAAAAAATTAAACAATTTAAGAAACTGTCTGAAGGTGAAACAAACTGAATTCTCTTTCAGCTCTCACACTTTGAGCTTCGTCCAGTTTGATGTATAATAAGGTAGAACCGTGGTCCTGTGACTGCAGTGTCCTGTTGGAGGAATCACTGACTCCTTCCCTCTGCAGGAGGTTCTGGGTTCTGATCCCAGATCAGATCAGCTCCTGTCACAGGCTGTCAAATTGTAAGTGGTGAGTCTACTGCTCCACCCTGTGGCTAAACTCCACTATCACATTTAGTGGAGTACAGAGAGCTGAGTGTCAGTGTGCTGATTGAATATAATAATAATAAGGATTTAACTGTTTGTAATGTTCTGTTCTCTTGTTCTACTTTAGAATGACTCCTTGTTATCAGTGAGACCTCCTCAAATACTCATCAGTGCCTGTAATCATCTGTCTTTACCTTCTTCAGTGTTCTCGCTCTCATATATGGCGAAACGGAAACATGACACAAAGTAAGAGAAAATATGAAGTCAGAGGTCCTGGGTTGAAATGTTTGAAGAGTCCAGTTGTCAAAATGAAACAAACATGGTTAGTTCAGTTCTTGTAGAAATGAATAATCATCAGTTCTTATAAAAGGTTTTTCTCTCTGATAAGATGTGGAATGGAAAAATCAAAAAGTATAAAGTGTGAGAAACTATAAATCAACCTGCAGTCGATTATCTGATCAAATAAATATATTTGCATTCAACAGTGAAAACAATGCTGAGTGTTGGAAGGAGAGAAACGTGTCCCTGGATGGACTTGAACCACCAACCTTTCGTTTAACAGCAGAATGTGCTGAGTTGATGCACCACAGAGACTCGGCCTGTGAGTCTTCAGAGAGACTTTAACCAAAATGAAACGAGAAGAGAGTAAGAACAACATGCAGTGAGCCGGTCAGAGCTCATCGTGATTGTGGTGTGATGAATTCAGTGCATTGGGAAGAAGAGTAAATCATCGCTAGGTGGACTTGAACCTCAAACCTCTCAGTTAACATCTGAACGCACTGACCTCCACTGAGGCCGTAGAGAGGCTTTAACCAGAATGACACTAGAATGATGTCCACAAACACGGTTACATGACATGATGCTGTTTGCACGTATCAGATGACCGTGGCCTTTGTTTGAACTCAGTGAACGTTTCCTCCGAGCTGATTTCTTGTTTCAGTGTGGTCACACGACTCGGTTGGTACAGTCCTGTGTGTTGACACTGAGTCGTCCTTGTTCAGACGATAGAACCACTGTTGTGTGTTTGAGACAGAAGACCAGTCTGAAGTCACAGCTGAGCTGAGGAACATGAGGAGGAGTCACTGCTTGAATCTGTCTCTCTCAGGGAAAAGTGAGAAGTTGAGTCATTTCTATAGAAAAACCAATATATGATGAAATAATGTTTAATTCTCTTGGCTTGCTGGTTTAGAGATATGGTGCTCGCTCAGAATATATGATAATGACTCATCCACCCACGCTGCTCGACTGAACGCCACAAGAAATCATTCCTGCCTGTGGCTGTCAAACTTCATAATGACAACTTGTAAACAAAGCTTAATACTGTATACTGTGTATACTTTAACTTACGTACAAAAGTAAATCTATACATATCTGCTTATGTATATCTTTTATTTCATTTTATTCTTCCTTGATTTTATATTGCTATATGTTTATACCTGCTTCTTGCTCTTTCACCTCTTTCTCAGGAGCAATGTGACGTTTGAATTTCCCTACGGGGATTTATGAAGTATTTCTGATTCTGATGATAACAAATAACCCCTGGGCGGGTTTGAACCACCAACCTTTCAGTTAACAGTCCGACACACTGACCTATTGCCCCACAGAGACGTCTGTCGTGAGTTCTTTGAGAGATTTGGAAACATAAGTCGAGTTTTATTTAACACCATCAAGAAGAGAGAACGAGAAGAATGACTCTTACAGCACAGACACACAACTGACTCGATCAAATACAACACAATAAGAAAATCTGAACAGTTTAGATTTTTTTTAAATCTTTATTTCTACTTCTCATTGTGTCCTTTCATTGTGCAACACTTTGGACTCATCTAGTTTATTAGTGCAGCTGAGCTCCACCCAGTGGTTTTAAGAACTGAAACAGGAAGTGAATCTGTTTGGGAAACTTGAGTCTTTTAATGGATTCAGGGTTTTTTTTTATCCTCTTCTCTAATTCATCCTCCTGCTGATCTCAGATGAATTTCTGAACTGTAATTCAATACCGCCCCATTTCTGATTGATTGATTGATTGATAGCGGAGGTTGTGAAGTAAATGTAGAGAGATAAAAAGTGTTTTTCTGAATTTTTTTTTTCTTTGTACAAGGTCTCAATTTCCTGTTTCTCTTCAACGAGGAAGGTTTAATTTTGACTTGTCCAATTTAACAACTTTATTATTTTTGGTGTGACTGTTGCTCGGCAGATTGGACGGTTTTGGGGAAAGAGTAAGTGACACACACTTCCTGTGCGGAATGTGAATGTGCCATCTGATTGCATCAACACAACTCAAAACCACAGTTCTTCCGCTGTGATGAGGAGACAGGAAGCAGATTCACTGAGCGGAGTGAAGAACATGCGGCTCCTCATCATCACACTGCACGAACCAGAGGAAGATACAGTTCTCTACGACATCTTCATGTCCGAGTTCTTCAGGGAACATCATCGTCAACGTCTGAGAACATGAACAAACGAAAACTGAGTAAGTTCCACGTTTCTGATGCAGAGGAAAGTTACACTCTCTGATGAGAGACTGTATTTGTTCATTCACTGCAATGATGTTGATTTAAATATGACAGAAGTGGTCTTTATGTGAACTGAAGTACAAGTACTATGTGAAAATATTCAATTACAAGTTGAATTCCTTTATTCAACATCATACATAATAATAAAGGGAAATATAAGCCTATAAAGTTGTAGATGTTATTTAATCCATTGGTTCCCAACCTCTGGGTCAGGGCCCTTTAAAGGGTCCCTATATAAATGTGAAGGGTCGTGAGATGAGTTCTGGGAGTTGGTGGAAAGTAGCCGAGTGGGCGTGTCTCTGAGGTTTCTAACACGTGACGGACGTGAAACTGGAAGAACACAAATGTCTCAGGATGAAGAAGAGGAGCCGTACACGTAGAAGACGAAGACGTCCACTTGGAAAGACGAGGAGGYTCCAGATGTTTTGGTGATGAGGGCCGACGCCGTGTGGACGAGCTGTAAACAACAACACTGATCTTTACACAGCAGAGTTTAGACGTCATGTCCCGCCTCCTGCTGCTCCACAGGCTCCACCCCTCACCTGAATGTCCCCACATGTTCCTGTTGTTGTGAACGAGTCGACAATCTGCTACACACACACTGACTACACAACATGACTCCACAACATGTCTACACAACATGACTACACAACATGACCACACAACATGACTACACAACATGACCACACAACATGACTACACAACATGTCTACACAACATGTCTACACAACATGTCTACACAACATGACTACACAACATGTCCAGACCAAACTGTGCAGACATGTTCTGGAGTTCATGTCCGAAAAAGGCTTCAGTGTTTCATGAGTCAGCGAAAAAGGGGCAGAGTTTAGAGACTGTGAACTATTGAGTGTTGTGTTGCTGTGTGATGCTGTGTGATAATGTGGTGTTTGTGTGTCTCGCCCCTTTGTCCACTGTTCCACTCACACTGTGGTTGTTTTTGGTCCATTGTAAACGAAGCATAAACGAGTCTTTGTGCAGCATTAATGGACACTGGTGCGGCTGAGGGCGGAGTTTAGCTCAGGGCTAAGAAAAGACAGCGAGTGTCACTGTGCTTCTGTCCGTCTGCTCGCTGCTCGCTCACTGTTCAAACGTACCCACGATGCATCTGAGGGGCGTTCATTCAGAAGCCTGAAGCTGCAGCACAGTGAACAGATCACTGTGCTGCAGCTTCTCTTTGGGCTTCAGCGACCGTCAGGACAGAAGTACGCTGCAGGACGTGTCTTCACGTGGTGATGTCGCAGCCAGACTCCATTACGCCATTAACCAATCAGAGAAGGATAAAGTAGAAGGTGGGACCTGACACCTGCAGGACGCCTCAATGATGCTCTAGAGTCTAGGTGACGGGTCGGGATGAGTTGGACAGAAGTTTAGAGGTTCAGGTGGAGGACGTGTTAATAATCACAGGTGGGGGAGAAGAGTAGAGTAAAAGCTGGTCTCACATCCCGTCTAAACAAACCACTTGTTCTAACTCCTCCCACACTGACTCTAAGATACGTCTGATAGCAGGACTGAGCATTGACGAGACGCCTCAGGACAAACTGTTAATGTGCATCACAGCCTCATGTGGCTGTTTCCTGTCAACTGGGTTTCTCTCACTCTTCTGAACTTTGACCCAGTTGCTATCCAAGACTTTTGCTCTTGTTATTTGTGTGATAAGTTTTCTTTAGCGTTCAGAAGAAGATAAATATCTTTTGAGTAAAATCTTTCATCTGTCTTACTTAAATCTCCTTTCTCAGGCCCTGACACTGATCTGAGACACTGAATGTTGAAGAGCAGGAACTGACATGTTGAGTGAAACAGGAAAATACACCCAGTGACTATTAATCTTGTTAAATAGGTTAAAGGAGGAGAATTCTTTCTCTGCTGTGAGAAAATAAAGGTTGTCCTTGCGTTGGAGTCACTCAAGGAATGTTGTTGTTGTACCCTTTAAACTCTCATCGGTTTCTATTCTGATCCGCGGCCCCTGGAGATCTCGGCAGTGTTTTATTATGTCGCCCCCTCCTCCGTTTCCTCAGCTAAATATAGACGAATGATCCTGAGAACAGAGATGCTGGAGGTGCACATGCAAAGAAGCCAAATTCAGTTTTTTGACTTTATTTCACTGAAAGTTTTTCCTCAGTGAATCTGCATGAGAAAGTAAATGATAATCTCACTTGGAGAGCTTATTAATAAACTTATTGATTAACTGTTTCCTTCTATCTCCAGGTCTCAGGTGGTTTGGGAGCCTCGCCAATATCTCCTCCCGCCGCCAGTCCAAGGCCGACATCAAGGCCGACCTCACGGCCGACATCAAGGCAGCCCCGAAGCATGATGGGAGCCTCTGCGGCGCCAGACCAGCAGCGTTGGGGGACCAGTCAGTGGACGACATGGAGTCCTGCCTCCACAGCCCCAGCTACGCCCGCTCCAGTGACATGTACACACATGTGGGCACTGTGCCCCGCAGCGAGAGGCAGAAGAAGAGCAGCAGGAGTCTGAAGGAAAAGAAGAAGAGGGGGAAGGATGAGGAGGATGATGGGGGGGTGAGTGGAGGGCAGGGCCAGTGGAAGGCGGGGGAGCATGTCCCAGACTCCCTCCTGCTCAGTGCCCTGTCCAGCCTCACTTTGACCAGCGCGGACCGACCTCTGCCTGTTTCTCCAACGGCCCGGCCGCTGCCCGCCACTCCAACGCCCAGTCGAGCCTCACCTTTGACCTCAGGCCCCGAAGGCTTCCGACGTCCTTCAGGAGAACTCGGTAAGAGCCAGGAGGCACCATCGAGGAGCAAGGATGCTTTAGAAACCAGCAGACCTGTGAACAATCTATCCAACATGGCAACTAATGGCCCCAAAGTGGTTCCAGCGCAGGATGTGTACGTACCGATGGACCCGATCACTGAAGCTGCTCGCTACAACCAAAGAGAGAAGCAGCAAAGAGACCCAGCACAGGAACCCACAGCCGGGGGGGGCGGCTCACAGGATGTAAGGTGAGAGTTGATTCAGTGCAGTGATGGTTCCTCCAGGGTCTGTCTGGTGTTTGGAGTTTTAACCTGAAGTTCAAGCAAATGACACGAGAACTGAGGGGTTGAAAATAAAATCGTTCAAACAATGAAAAAATTTAATTAAATGAAGCACTGACAGAATCTAAAATTAATGAAAAAAAGACTTCTAAAATTGTTTATCAACATATTATTGATTCACAATAATTGTGACTGCTACGATTCAGACAAATCAGTGAGATCACTAGAATACACTATGTGCACTGATTATTATTAAGTTATTAAGTCATTTTACAATCTAAAATGCACATATGACCTGGTAATAATAATAATATTAAAACATTATTAATGCGAGAAAGAAAAAGGGGGATGATGATACAAAATGAATTTTAAAAGGTTAAAATGAAGATAGTCAGTTTAAATAAACAAATATAAATATTCCAGACATGTAGGAGAGTTGATGGATGAAGAATTTTACTCAAATACTACTTTGATTATGACGCGTGACTGAAGTTTTTAAATCTATTAAACAATAATGAACGAACGTGTCTTGAATAACACCGATCACAGTACAGTGATTAACAGCCGGGCATGCGCAGCGCGTCCCCGCCTGTCCGCACACACACGGTCAGCTGCTGGAGAAGTTCAGCGGGAGTGAGTGCGCGGGACCGTGTGCGGGAACAGGATGAGCGGAGCCGGGGACGGAGGCTCGGTCCGCTGCCGAGCCGGAGGACGGAGGTGAGAGGAGCGGGGCATGGGATCCACGAGACCGAGGATCGAAGTGTGATCGATGATTCCGGACACGTTAGTTTAAAAAGTGTGTGTGTGTGAGTGTGAGTGTGAGTGTGTGTGTGTGTGTGTGTGTGTG